TTTTTTTTTTCTTCTTCTTGATTTTTTTTTTTTGCTTATTCAATCTCAGGATCCAAACGGGCCTCGATTTCAGAAGCAAAAGAGGCAGTACAGGCTGCATATTATGCAAGCCCGATAGAGAAGAAGGCCAGATTCTCTCATTTATCCATAGCTCAATGTCCTCTCCCGATACCTTTACCTTTCCCTTCAATATTCAAAAATCTCGTGGGTCGAGACGGTGAGCTTTTGGACACTCCAATTTCAGATTGTGCATTTACACGAGGTTCTCTCGAGGTACATTCTGTTCCTATGGCAGCAAGACTTCGTTCGAGTAATGCGATTTTGCCGTTTTTGGAGGGTAGATTGGAAAGCCTACGTAAGTTTGGGATATCTCGTGGAGGTTTAGGTACCGAGCTGCTTAAAAGTTGGGGTTTCGAGAGAGAGGATGTTGAGGAGATGGGGGAGACTTTGTCTGGGATGGTTATGGCTTTAAATTCCGGCTCTCAAATGTTGTCTGATTCTGATTAATATAATGCTGCTATGGGACTGAAGCTTTTTTGTTAAAACTAGTGATTTTTGAGTAGCAAAACTGATGTGTTGGGACTTGGGACTGAGGCTTTTTGTACTGAACAAACTGAATACTTCTCTCCCTGTTTTTTATTAGAAACTGTGTCATCAGTAGTGTTTAATTTTGAGAGCTTTTTTTTCTTTATTTTTTTTTTTAATATATAGAATGGTTGACTTTCATTTTGTTGGGACTGAGGCTTTCATTTTTATCGTTTTTGTTGTCTATCAACTTCTGTTTATTATTTGCTGGTTGCGTTAGAAGATATTCAGGTTGATTTCATTGGGTGGATGAAAGGGAAAAAAAGGAAAAAGAAAAAGAAAGGGTTAAAATTTGTGGGATTATATTGTTTGCTAAATTGCAGATGGTCTCGTATTTGTTTTAGCACGCACTTATCCACACGAATCGTGATGTTTTCCTTCGGTTGGTTGGTTTCTGGTGGTGAACGAAAAATGAAAATCAAATGGAAAGCTTCCCCAGTTAGTTAATTTAGAATTTGTTCTTATGGAATGACAATGTATCCATGCTTGATTTCGAAAGAGGAATGTCTGAATCTTGATAGTTTGTGCTTTTTTACTGCAGCCCTCGGTTAGAAAACAACATAATGCAGGGTACAAACACAAGGTAAAATTTGTTCTTTTTTCTCTTTTGGGGTTTCGAAATCATCATGCATTTCATTACATTATTATGAGCAGAACAATGTAAGAATCTAATATCAACAATATGAAGCACAATTAAATCAAAGCTTGATAGATCAAAGAGTGAAGGAACATCTAGGGACTGCATTTAGGCCTCCTATGGCTCCTTTTAACCAGCTGAGGCCCGGTTTGGCTATGGTACCTGCTCCTCTACCACTTCCAGGGCAGTTGCAGTTGCCTCCTGGTGCTCAGTTAGTCCCCGGTTTTAGACCTCCGGTTTTGCCGAGACCTATGCCTGGAGTTCCAGGTATGTGAAATTTTGAATATATATATTATCAAGTGTGTATATTGTGTATGTCTGAGGCACTTTTTGTTTTTGGGAAGCAGTCGTTTTATGAGCATGTCAGTCATGAGTGGTGAGTGATTAGTCGTTTCAATGGAACAATGAAAATTCATGCTAGTTCTGTTTTTGTACATGTGATAGTGACATTAAATTTGTGTTCAGTGTTTGTGAGATTAGGGGTTCCTTGTGTTAGAATCGACTGGTTTTAAATGGATATACTCTAAGCAGAGGAAAATTCACTTATAGACCAGTGAGGGCCTAGAAAAAATCAGTCAGGCACGCTGTTAGAGCCTTTGTAAGCTAAAAATTTGAATATAGTGAAAGAGCTGATATAATAAATATTCTCACATGTACAATCATACTTATGAGTTATGTTGGAAAGATGAAAACACAACAACAATTTTATCCTTACTTACATCGTTCGTTCAATGTAATCTGATGTATCTGATGGGCCTCTATCTGGCTAATCTTTTCTCTTCATTTCTCTATTTATGTATTTTTTATTTTTTTTTTCACAAGATGGAAACTAGCAAGTTGTTTATCGATCAATTATGTTAATTGCTACTGACATGAAAAAATAAATCTATCATAACATATTTAATTTTATATATCAATAAATAATTTAGTTATATTTTTATTATTTATTGAATTGTGTCAAAAATCGTGATAATTTTGTCAACTTCATTACTTTAAAACAATTTGAATACATCATGTCAAAGTTTAATAAATATAAAAATAATATTAAATTAGTGTTTTATAAATTTAAATTAGTGTTTTATATTATTTATTTGTATCACTGACCTGTTTATAGCATGTATATGTGCTCTAATTAGTTCAGTAACCAGGGGTAACAATGACGATGGTGACGGACCAGACTCTCGACGATGACAGGTGGGGATTGTTAATTTGTAATGTACAAGCGCAAGTTTTGGTTCGAAGAGAACGATTATGACGTCCCTGAATCCTATTTCTACCAGACCGGCGAGCAGATTCGGCCGAATACCATCGAACTGGTCAAGAGATTCCTCAAACAAGTCCGCGAATCCAGGGGTTATGACGTGGATTGCTGCCCACCTCGGATGTTTGAATCTCCATTCGCACCACTTCCACTGGAAGTGCGCCAGGGTACAAGATATATTGATAAACTCGGGTATGCTAGAGTTGTCGAAGCAGCTGAGCATGCAATTCAGAAAATCAGTGAAGGGATTGGTCACAGTTATAATCTTGTGAAAGTCGAGAAGGCTGTCCTGACCAAGGCCTTGGTGTTATTCTCGACTTTGACTGCCGAGGAAGATGGTGGTCCTGTGCAAACTATTCAAACCGCAGTCTACCACCCCATTGGTGGCCATCCAGTCCTTCAAGAGTGGAGGTTCAAACCACTCCCTGCTCATTGACAGCCAATCGGTATGCAAAGGCCCGTGACAGCTGTAATTCCGACCAGTGGTGGCCCACCAATTTATGCACCATCGGTTGGTGATGGTTCTACCGTTGGTGCTCAGGCACCTGAGGCTAAGCAGTAATTTTTATTTATTTATTTATTTATTTATTTTCTAACTTTTCTGTATTCTTTAAGGAGAATGTTTCATGGGAGTTTGTGTACAAAGAATTTTTGTGAAAACTTTAAAATTATTGCTCTGAAGGTCCCCAGTCTTGCAGATATTGGCAGATTTGGTTTTGTTCATTAGGATCGCTAAATTGTGTAGTTACCTCAGATTGTTCATGTTCATTTCCCTTAAAGAGGCACATATCAAACTAAACCAAATGGGTCTCAAGGCCAATGAAAATTATGGCACTTTGTAGTTGATTAATGGAGTCCAATTATTTGAAGAATCTTCTAGAATCTAGTTGAATTGCATAACCATCATGACATACACACACACACTGACACACATTCACACACTGTCACACACACACATACACACATATGTACGACAAAAATTCTATGAAGCAATCAAATGATTTTCTTGTGGAGTCATCCATCACTTGATGTATTGACACATGTCCAAAGTGCATTTATTGCACGACACGTGTCAATATATCATTTGTGAATAACCATGGATGACTCCATAAGTCGAGCCATCCGATGGCTTCATAGCAAAACTGATCACTAGTCATAAACCACTAGTAAATTCAAGGACATTTGAAATTAGCAGCAAACAGCCATTGAGCAAAAGGACAGAATCAACCTAATCCACCATGTGCTTTTTCCACACCAAAATTCCATCCATCAATTTCTTGTCTTTTGTCCCTTAGCCTCTCTACATGTCTTAGCTGCTTTCACCTCACTGCTCCCCCTCCACTCACCTCCTGCCACGTGTCACTCCATGCCCCCCCATCAATTTCTCAAAACATTTTAAACTCACAGGACCCTCCTTAATCAGTTCACTCATTCTGATATTCATTCTCTTCAGAAAAAAAAAAAAAAACCCTTCATTTATTTCAGTACCCTTTTAATAAAGTTTCAATCTTGTAGCAAAATAACTACAAGGGGGGGGTGTCAAAAGGGGCAGAAGTATCTTCTCTTCATCATTAATGGCAAACTCTAAAAGTATATTATTATTCTTGATTTTTGTTACCATCTTTGTATCGACCTCTTCATCGTCGCTAGCCTCGGAAAATAATCTACCGGCCTCTGTAATTTCGGCTGCGCCGGCTTTACCGCCCGATAATATTTCCTCGCCAACACCGGCATCATCATCATCATCATCTTCTCCAGACATAACTCCTCTCTTTCCTTCTCCAAGTGATTCATCTGTTAACATAATACCCTCGAGCCCAAGCCCGCCAAATCCGGATGCAATGGCCGCTGCAGGCCCGAGTATGGCATTTGGGCCCTCTGGCTCTGGCCCGTTTCTGGATTCTTCTTCACTCGGGTGGGGAACTCCGAGTTCAATGGGTTCTGTACTCTGCTGGCTGGCATTTGGTTTAGTGTTATGGTTTATGAATGATCATTTTTATTGGTTTTAATGTGTATAAGTTGGTTTAATGAAAAATTCTAGTGTTGAGTGTTGTGGCATTGTAATGAATTGTGGAAGTACAATGTGACTATTAGAATATAATATCACTTGTGAGTTGTCCCACATCGTTTATACATGAAGAATAGACCTGACTTATATTTAAGTCTATTGGGTTACTCATCCTTTCACGTTTTGAGAATGAACCTCACTTTGACTTCGTTTGAATTTTGTATTTCAGATTGGTTGTGGCAATTTCAGATTTCCTATTTCAATTTTGTATTTCATTTAATATGTCATTACATTGAATGCATGATACATGCTTATGATATGTCATATTTGTACACGTGTTATGCATTCAAGAATTAAAAAAAAGATGGATTACGAAAATGAAATAAGAGATCACATGCCATTTTATTCTGCCATTAGTATTTTCTGTTATTAATGAAACATATACTCAATGTTGAATATAAGTTTTACTTTTTATTTTTTTAACAAGAATTGCCTTTTTTAAAAAAAAATGAAAATTTGAAAATAGATGCTTATGGAAAAAATAAAGATATTGTGAACGGAAAAATAGATAAGATTGTAATAATTAAAGTCTACATGATATAAATTATTAACATACCAACTGATAATAATAGTAGTTAAAAATATTAGAGCGAATGAAGTATTTTTTTTATTGAAAATATATATAATAACTGATACAACATCCGTGTATTACACGGGTGCTTGTTAAAAAATTATTCTTAAATTCTAAAATTAATTAATGAGAAAACTATATTAAATTTAGTTTACTTTTTTAAAAAAATATATATTACTATATATTTTAGAATGATATGTGTTACTTATGACTTACATGTGTTATATTATATTAGTTTTTATAACTTATATCATATCACTACAAAAAAAAACTCTTACATTCCAACGGAAATTTTCCGTTGGAATTTTTTATATTTCCGTTGGAATAGCTATTCCACCGGATATTCCTACGTATAAAAATCCGTTGGAAAAACGGCCGTTGGAATAGCAAATATCCAACGAAAAATCCTATGGAAATAAATTCCTACAGCTATTCCAACGGAAAAAATCCGTTGGAATTCCTCAACTATCCAACACTTATTCCAACATAAAATTAAGTTTGTTGAAATATTCATTGGAATTTCCAACGGAAATTTTTGCTGTTGGAATTGTAGTGTTTTTTTGTAGTGTATAACTACTTGAAATATAAATATATTAGTTGATAAATAATTTTATTTTTCTAAATACTAAAAATAATTTTATTATTGTTATAAAGATAAATATAAATTATTTTTTTTATACATATAATATGGATGTTAAATCGAAGCTCATCAAAAGAAGATTAATTTGATATATTACATATGTAAAACTGATAAAAAATACAAAAGTTATCAACTTTTAAAATATATATACAATTCAATAGTTATAATAAGGAATGATGCAATTAATACATGTAACATGACAATAAATAATCAACATATTTATAGTAATCCGAACCTAATTATTTTTGGTTTGAAATTAATTTAAAATTTACCCAAGCCTAATAACGAAGCATATAATTTTGTCACATAGGATTTCGAAGCACCAGAAGCAGCCACTTAGACTCAGCGCGTTCTGGATTAATATATAGGGGCTTTTAGTTATGTTAATGGAATTTGTAGAGAAAAAAAAAAAACTGAATGAATAGTATATTAAAAGTATTATTTAATTTAAATTTAAATGAAATAAGTATTAACTTAATAAGAATACAAATACATACAATCTATATATGCATATAAAAGTTTGTATTTAGGAATTTTTTCACTAAACAGTACTTTTAGTTACTAAAAAGAGGAGCATAGTATTTTTTATTTATTTTATTTTTTAACATTGTATATTTTCTTAAAATATAATTTGTAATAATTTAACTATTTATTGGTTTTTATTATTTGTTAATTAAAAAATATTTGTAATTATAGAAACATCATCTCCATAATAATTTATCAAACTTCTTTACAAGTATAAGGATTTTTTTATATAATTATGATAGATTATTGTTTAACAATATATAGAATAGTAGTTGTACCTATTTATCTTAGGTTATATATTTTACTTCATTCAAATTTTAATATATAATAATATAATTTATTTTTAAAGCACTTCATGCATTATAACTCATATGTAGTATTTAACAGTTTATGAATAATGTATTACAAAAATATTAATTAATATACAAATATACCTGCTACGCAATAACTAATGCTGATATTACGCCACAATGACAATTACATAATCAATTAATTAAATTAAATTTTTAAAAGTTATTATCCTTATTAATTTATAAATATTCATAAAGTAAGAAATAACTATTTTGTCTTTAGCTACATAATCTTAATATATTGCCTTATAATCATGTACATGTACTACATAAATCATAAAATAATTTTATTTCATAATACTAAATATATTTCATAAAATAAGATTTTTTTTTTTTTTTTAATCAATCGCGGCTTGAATTAATTAGTTTGTTGTCCAGGTTGATTGATTACACTTAGGTCATATTTAAAATACTCTAAAAACATGACACAACTAGAGTTTTTATGGTGACCAAATTATGGATCAATTTGACAAACAAATTAAAATATTTAATATTAAAAATACATTGTTACGATAAATGTAATGTAGTCCAAACTCCAACTAATCATATAAAAACATACTTTCATGACAACATGTTCAATGATTAATGTATATTTTTATATTATTTACTAATATTTATGCGAATAAAATGATATTGTATTACAATTGTTATCAATGTGCGATAAATCCAAAGATCTCATATTGAACTGTCGTGAACCGATTAAACTATTTAATCAATGATTCACTAATTGGACGAAATTTATTTTATTTATATTTGAATATATATGTATATATTATATTTTTTATAATAAATGTATTAAAAATATTAATTAAATATCTAAACAATTAAAATATTCAAATGGTTAGTAATAATTTGTAATCCTCCATTTTATTTAAATATTTTTTTATTTATTTATATTAAAAATAATTTTATATATGACAAAATTTAATTTAAAAAAAAATAGACCGATCAACCCGTTCGAGAGATTGGTGTGACCGAAATGTTAGCATTGAAAAATGCTACAAGTACATAATAAATGTACATAGAGGTGTACATAACACTCACATTGGGTGGGGTCTACTTGATTATTTATTTTTGGTAGGACTCATATAATGTGAGTGTTATGTACACCTCTATATATAATATTATGTACTTATAGCATTTCTCGTTAGCATTTAGCAAACATTTTATCAAAACGAATCCAAACAATATATGTATAGAAAAATGCTCCCCTACCCACGGTGATAATATGAATTAACATGTTAATATGTCCACCGCTTATGTGGCATGCACACATTGGTGATGTTAATATGTTCAGAAAAATACATCACCAATGTGTGCATGCCACATAAACGATTAACATGTTAACATGTGTCCACCGTGAGTATGTGAGCATTACTGTATATGTATATATATCAGAAGTTAATCATGATACATATTATTTATATATTTATACAGTATTGTTGCATTGTATTTAATAAATATATTCCCTTACCCACGGTGGGCAGTGCCCACTGCCCACCGTGGGCAGGTGAGCGGGACTGTTGTATTTATAATACAAAACATCATGTCTCACTCGATAAACCCAAGTCTTAAAGCAGCCACAAAAGTGGTCACATAATTCATAAAAAAAGAACACACTCACCCAACACTGTATTCTTCACTTTAACATCATTTTCTTCTCTTACTTTGTAAAAGTCTAAACTACAATACCAGCTTGTCAACCTCAAATTAAAATCAAAGGGGGGTTTTACCTAAATTATTCCTCTTGCTGTAGAAAAAACCCTTTTCCTTTGTCTTTTTTTCCACTGTAATTATTTATAAAAAATAAAGGGATAATTTCATTTCATAGGCTATTGCTGAACGAATTATATTGTTTTGTACAGATCTGTGTTGCTCTCTGTCGTTGTGGGTTTTATTTTTTCTGGGAATGTTGATTTGTCCTTAGTGTACACGGGTTTTTCTATACCAAGATTGACAAGTGATGTGAATATTGTTTTTCATTAGGATTTGAAATCTTAGGGATCAAAACTATGTGTTGATTCATCATTTTTGGCTGATTATTGTTGTTATCTTACAAGGGTTTGCTTCGATTGGGGTTTTTGTAGCAAACTTCTAGCATGTTTTTTGACATTAGCCCCAAAAAGCCTTTCAATTGGGCAATCGATGGTAAAAATGGTCAAAGTTCAGATTTTTAGGGTTTTAGCTGCAGAAGGGTTGCTGCAAATTTACATCTTTATTCAATCTTGAAAGTTGGATTGGGTTAATTATGTCCTTCAAGAGTATAATTCAAGATATGAAGGGTGAATTTGGGAGGATTAGGTCAAGGTCCCATCGTGTGGTGGAGGATCGTCCCGTGAGTGTTGTTGATGATGCTATGAGGCAGAGTTGTTGGGCTAATATGCCGCCCGAGCTTTTAAGGGACGTTCTTGCTAGAATTGAGGAGTCTGAGTGTAATTGGCCACAGAGAGACAATGTAGTTGCTTGTGGTGGTGTTTGTAGGAGTTGGAGAGAAATAATGAAGGAAATAGTGAGTAGTTTGGAAGTTTCTGGAAGATTGACATTTCCTATTTCTCTTAAGCAGGTTTGTGTTTCTTGTTTGTTTTGTCTTATGCCAGTGTTGTGTGACTTAGTTTTATTTTATTTCGAGGTAGTTTTGTGGAATTTTTTAGCCATTATATTGCCTGGAGTCTAGCGTTTAGAGTTTTTTTAAATCTTGAATGAAGATTTTTAGAAGCTTATTGATATCGTGCGATGTAGCTTCTAGTTGCTGTACGGGATATTTGGTTTTCTATGGCATTTTCGACTTATCATGATTCATCATTGGAGTTGTTAGACAATTTTTTTGAAGGTCAAAATTTGAAGGGAATAAATTCGAACCAAGAAAATCATTTTTGTTTTTGTTTTTGTTTTTGTTTTCATAAATTATTGGGATTTTGGGTCTCGCATGATTTTGTTTTGCAAGTGCTTTTCTTTACGTGCAAGATCTGAATTCAGAACTCTCTGTCTGAATAAACAAGTGCACTGTTTTTCCTTAGTTTGTGTTACATGAGTCATAAATTTAATGTGCCGATAATACAGGCAAATATCAGTTTTTTGGGTGTATTTTTCTTAATTCATAAATTGGACTTTATGATGGGAAAATAATTTAGTCATAATTCATAAAACTTGCTTTCGATAAAGTTTGGGGGGTTTTCTTGCAGCCTGGCCCAAGAAATGCCATGATTCAGTGCTTCATTAAGCGTAAGCGTGGGACTCAAACCTATCATCTTTACCTCAACTTGAGCCAAGGTAAAGATCCTAATATTTTTTGTTAATTTTTAGTGAAATATATGTGTTTGCAATTTTATGATTTCGTGTATCTTTTTCCTCGATTTATTTGTCTGTTTTTTTTTTTTCCTCAAACAGCTTCTAATGATGATGGGAAATTCCTTCTTTCTGCCCAAAGACATAGACGCCCGACTTACACAGACTACATTATATCTTTGAATGCTGATGATGTATCGAAGTGCAGCAACAACTATATTGGAAAATTGAGGTATTATTGTGCCCTTTAAAGGATTCAATATGCTTTTCAAGAAAAAAATTATTATATTTACATCTTGTTTCATTTTGTTCATGTTATAGGTCTAATTTCTTGGGCACCAAATTCATAATTTATGATGCCCAGCCTCCGAATCTTGGAGCTAAAGTCACTAAATCTCGTTCGACGAGGCTAGTTGGACTGAGGCAAATCTCTCCCCGAGTCCCTGCTGGCAACTATCCAGTGGCCCACATATCATACGAGCTGAATGTCTTGGGTTCAAGGTGATTAATTTTGATCCTTCATCATTTTTTTCATTGAAAGTTGAAAAACATAAGCTAGCTTATAGCTTATTTGGTTGGCTTATATGCTTCCTGTATTCAAATAAGCTTCATTTGGTAAGACGAGTTTTTTTGAAAAAGCTGAGCTTATCCTATGAACTTTTTTGGGTAGCTTTTCAAATAAGCTCGTTGAAATTTTTATTGCAATTATCTTATTAAGTTTACTAAACACTTCATATAAGCTAGTTTTTCAGTTATAAACTCAAAATCATTTATAATCTATAAGTTAGGTTATCAGCTATCAGCTAGCTTATCAGTTTTACCAAACATAGCGCCATAGCCTATAACTATTTTTGGATAGAGTTGAGCTTTCTTCCCTTATTGCAAACAACCCATAATTATTTAATCTGGAGAAAAAAGGGTGTGTACTCTCGTATTTAATCGAGCTTTCAAATAAACTCGTTGAAATTTTATTACAGTTAGCTCAGTTAATTTTACTAAACACTTCATATAAGCTAGTACTTATAAACTTGAAAATCATTTCTAATCTATAAGTTAGGTTATTAGCTAGCTTATCAGCTTTACCAACACGGCATCATAACCTATAACTATTTTTGGATAGAGTCGAACTTTCTTTCCGAATTGCAAACAACCCATAATTATTTAATTGGGATAAAAGGGTGTGTACTCTCGTATTAGCTCAAAACTCCCTCGTAATTATCGAATTATGAACAGGGGCCCGAGACGAATGCAATGTGTGATGGGCAACATACCTTCATCAGCAGTTGAACCAAACGGCGAGGCCCCCACACAAACCGCTTTTGTGCAGGGAAACTTCGAGTCCTTCCCTTCGAAACCTTTCTTCCGGTCAAAGTCAACTCGAGCGGACAGTTTGCAGTCCGGTCAAAGTCAACCCGAGCGGACGAGTCCCATTGAGGAGATGCTGGTCCTAAAGAACAAGGCACCTAGGTGGCACGAACAGCTGCAGTGCTGGTGCCTAAACTTTAACGGGCGAGTAACGGTTGCCTCTGTGAAGAATTTTCAGTTAGTGGCGAGTAGTGAGGGCAGCGGGCAGGAAGAGGACAATAATGTAATTTTACAGTTTGGTAAGGTGGGCAACGATATATTTACCATGGATTATCGGTATCCAATCTCGGCATTTCAGGCGTTTGCGATTTGCCTCAGCAGCTTTGATACGAAAATCGCTTGTGAGTGATATGATGTTTATTTCCAAATTGTGACTGATCTGAACATTGGTTTGGTGTAATACACAGTTGATGTTTCTTCTTGTGTTTGATTATATGATGGTTTTGTTATAAGTTTTCAAGTTTGCGTCTTTGTGATGATTTCTGTGAGTTTTGTACAGACACATATTTGAAGACTTAATTAGTCTGTTTCAGTTTTTTTACTGTTCGATTTGAAGGAATGATATAAATAGTATCTAAAAAAATCTATATATATAATAATTATAGGCTGAGCATTTAAGAAAGCCTATAAAATTGTTTTTCCTGTCTAAATACATTACTGTCTAAATACATTACTGTTCAATTATTTTTCGTTTTTTGTTATTTTTATTACATAAACAGATCACCTTTGGATTAATGTTGACTATTAAAATTGGCTACAAATCTCATTGACTGCTTTCTTTCATCTAGCCGTTACAAGTTGATAAAAATCATTCCAAAATTTTTTTAACAATTTAATTAGTGACCACAATTATCAGTAGTCTTTTTTTACTCTAAAAACCTTTTTATTTAATCAATTTATTTTTTTTATATACATCGTAAATTAATAAATATAAATGAAGAACAAAAGGTGAAT